AAATACAATGTGAATAACAAACTCACCAATTTAAAAAATATCAAAATATATTACGCACTTTCTTCACAACTACAACCCTTGTTTTTACTAATACAAATATCAGACTATGAATCCTGCGCGTGTGCAGTATCACTCTGAGCTGTAATGGGATAGTTTTGGCCCGCTTCCTTGGATGATTCACATATTTTATCACTTCTCTCGATTGTACGATGCAACTTTATATCCACAGTTTAATTAATTTCAAACGTTAAGGAGACATAAAAACAAAAACGTAAACTATTTTGCTATGTTGGCGATCCCTGAACACTTTGTGGAGACAATTTTAAAAATTTATAGTAAATACTGAAAAAAAATGGTATTTTAACTTGTGAATGCCGATATTACAAAATTGTACAAAGGGCTCAAAATACCGGTATTCAGTATTCCGGTATACCGGTATTGCAGTCCCTAGTCCCTTTACACGGCACCCCTCCATGGCACCGTGAGCGTGAACCACTCGGCTACTTTGGCCTTGAAGACTGTTGAGTAAAACTACTAGAAATATTACCAAATTTTTGAATTTTTCTGGCTTCACAGTCCACGTGGAGCAGTGGGAATATTTAGCAGAGATATATCAGCTCGGTGTCATGTTCATTGTCTGACAATTATCAGAAATATGAGAACAAACGAATTGAGTTGCTCTAATGCAACATTTGTTAAAGAAATTGAACTTGTTTTGATTACTTTGGGAATGCGTTCGAGAAGTGAAAAAAATCTCTATCGAATATAATATTTATAAAAATATTTTAAAAAGTATAGGTAATGAGAAACCGCCAATATAGAATTTATAACTTTCCCAAGCAGGAAAGGACATTTAGAAATCGCAAAAGCAAGTTATAAAAACAAGTTTATAAAAACAAGTAATATAAAATTTTTTTCTGAAAGACAATTTCTACTTAGGTCAACAAAGAAAATTTTATTTTAGTTTTATTTTATTAAATAATTACTATTAATATTGTCACGTATAAAGAAACGTAGATACGTATTGATTTTATCCCAAGTATTTATTGATGAAGCATTCTAGGTTACAAAACCAAGAATTGACTATCTTGTCGAGCTCTTGGCTCTTTTATAGCATAATGGAATATTCTGGAACGCCGTTCCAGTAAAGTAAAGAGACAACTAGAAGCTTCTAGAAGGTATTAGGAATTAAAGTAATAATTTAAGAAATTAAGTAATAATTCATTGTCCTGCAACGCTTGTGCTGGGATTCGAACCGGGAGCCTTTCGGGTATCTGCCAAGCGCTCTAGCCGATTGCGCCACCGAGTCGCTCACTTAGATAGGTTTTAAGCGTCAGTGTGCTCCCTCTCCTTAAAAGAACAGCGTTTTCGCTGGTTCTAGCGTGTCTGTCTCAGGGTCTTTGATCTTGAGCGTGTTGTTGGTCCGGCATAGTCGTTCCTTCCCGTGGATGGTATACTTTCTCCAAAACGTTTGTCATCAGATGCCACAGAGTCATTAAAGTGTGCTTGTAGATCCGGATCGTAGTAAGGTTTCATCCTGAGTACATGAACTATGTCTTTTGATTTTCGTCTTCTAGAGGTCGGATCAAAATCGTGAACCTCGTAAGTTGCATCCGAAAGTTTGCGCAGAACTTGGTATGGCCCGAAGTACTTTTTCAACAGTTTTTCGGAGCGTCCTACCTTACGCACAGGAATGTAAATCCACACTAAATCATCCGGATGGTACAGCACGGCACGATGTCTTGAATTGTAGCGACGTCGGTCTTTCTCTTGTGCTTCAAGAGTGCGGATCCGAGCCAAACTGACGTGATTCTTCCACCTGGGTCACTAATCGGGCTACGAAGTCTGGTGCTGTATATTCGATGGGCTCTTGGAACATGGCATTAAGTGTTGTTTCAGCCTCGCGACCAAACGTCAAAAAGAATCGAGTAAAACCAGTTGTATCTTGTCTAGCAGTGTTGTAGGCAAACGTAACGAACGGCAAAATTCGATCTCACGTTTTCTGCTCTACGTCGACATACATAGCCAGCATGTCTGCCAATGTTTTGCTAAAACGTTCATTGAGTCCATTCGTCTGAGGATGGTAAGCAGTAGTCATCCGATGCACCACTTTGCACTGATTGTTAATCTCGGTGATGAGGTTCGACTGAAAGACTGTGCCTCTAACGGTGATGATGGTCCTCGGAGCTCCGTGAGTCAGAATAATTTCTTCTACAAAGAATTTTGCCACCTCTGGGCTTCCGCAGTTGGGAGGGCTTTGGTAATAGCATATCGTGTCATATAATCTGTGCACACAATTATCCATCTATTTCCTACTTGAGACTTCGGGAATCGTCCTAGAAGATCCATCCCTATACGCTGGAATGGAGCTTCAGCTGGAGGTATAGGAATTAGTGCTCCGGAGGCTTTAATGGAACTGCTTTTCGACGCTGGCATTCTCTGCAATGAGTTACGTAACGGCGCACAGTGCGAAAAAGTCTCGGCCAAAAGAACCTCTTTCGAATACCGATCATATGTCGGCACAAATCCCAAATGTCCCGCTGTCGTTCGTCATGGAAGTGGTGAAGAATTTCTAACCGCATTTTCTTGGAACGACTGGTAGCCACTGTTTTCCGGATGGGTCAAAATTTTTTTTACAGAGTACATTGTTCACGATGGAGAATCCTGCACTCGACAAATCTGGCTATTGTTCACAAGCTTAATGAATGCAGCAAGAGATGGATCATCACGTTGTTCGGTAGCTAGATCACTTATAGCAGCAAGGGATTCGATTTCCGGTATGATTGGAATAGGATTTCGTGATAAACAGTCGGCGTCGGCATGCTTTTTCCCGCTTTTGAAAACTATGGAGACATCGTACTCTTGAAGCCTTAACGCCCACCTGGCTAATCGACCGGAAGGATCTCGTAGATTGGCTAACCAACACAATGAATGGTGGTCTGTAATTATGTTGAAGCACTTTCCGAAGAGGTATGGCGAACTTAGTTATCGCCCATATAGCTGCAGCATTCTCGTTCACTGGTCGAATAGTTTTTCTCGGCTTTAGTTAGAGTTCTTGAGGCATATACTATGACTCTTTCTTTTCTCATCTTGACTGTTGCACCAAAACGGCACCTATTCCGTAACACTGGCGTCAGTGTGCAGTTCATGGGAGCATTTTCATCATATAGGGCTAAAACAGGCGGTGACGTCAAAGCTGATTTAAGGTCCCGGAATGAGTCTTTCTTGAGCTTTTTCCCAGTGAAACCGAGTCTCCTTTTAAAAGCTGTTGAGACGCTTAGCACGCAAACAAAAGTTCTTGATAAACCGTCGATAGTATGAACACAGTCCCAAGAAGCTCCTAACGTCGTGTATTTTTTCGGTGTAGGGAAGCGGTTGACAGCTTCTAATTTATCGGGATCAGGTTTTACGGCTTTAACCAGATACAAGATGCCGAGAACTTTGATCTCTGTAGCACCAAAATAGCATTTCCTTGGATTTAAAACTAGTCCGGCATCTTGAATGCAGGAAAGCACGCAATGTAGTCGTCTCAAGTGGTCATTAAATGTCAGTGAGAACACAATTATGTCGTCTAAATAGCATAAGCACATTTGCCACTTTAAATGCCGAAATAAACTATCCATACTCCTCTCGAAAGTTGCGGGAGCGTTACACAACCCGAATGGCAGGACATTGAATTTATATAATCCGTCACTGGTGATAAATGCCGTTTTCTCCTATCATATTCGTCCACTTCTATTTGCCAATAACCGGAGTGCATATCCATCAATGAAAAGTATTGAGCTCCTTTAAGGCAATCCAAAGTGTCGTCGATTCTGGGTAATGAATAAACGTCTTTCTTAGTGACCTGGTTGAGGCGACGGTAGTCCACGCAGAAACGCCATCTTCCATCCTTTTCTTACGAACCAGTACGACCGGGGATGACCATAGGCTTTCTGACGGTCGGATGATGTTTCGCTTCAGCATTTTGTCAACTTCGTCGTTAATTACGCGTCTTTCTACTGATGATACCCGGTATGGTCATTGGCTTACGGCAGGGTGTGTGACAGTGTTAATTTTGTGTTTCACATTTAGCTTGCATTCTCTCTTCGCTGTGTTTCACTTTGGAAGGCATCTTGAAATTGTCTCAATAGACTTTTCATTTGCTTCTTCTGCTCTACACTCAGTGTTGAGGCCATCATCCGAGAGTAGCCGATTGCGCCACCGAGTCGCTCACTTAGATAGGTTTTAAGCGTCAATATAAATATATACACATATGACAGAATCACAATATTAAATGGCAAAATAGAAAGCGATTTTCCATTTTTCTTTCTATACATAGTGTTGGATTATTATATTTTTGTTTGATACTTTTATTACTTCATTAAATTTCATTATTCCAATAAAAAAGTGTAGTAAAAAGAAAGTACTGTGACGAGTCTATCCGCGTCAATCTTCCATTAATCCTCTTGGGTAACTTTGGGGCCAACAATTATTCTATTTCACAGCCTCCTCGGGAAAAACACGAGATAGTGATATGCTAATGAGTTCAACTATATAAAGTCTAGATTTAGTAAGAAAGCGAAGGAGAAGGAATTACCAAATTAAATGTAAGTATCGACTACGGATCTCTTCAGCGAGCTTTGCGCGTATTGGATATTATTAATAATTGAAGGAATCAAAGAGATTAGATTTAGTACTGACCTGACGTTAGTAAGGGTTCGTCTCCTTTGTCAATTCTGATAGCTGAGATTACTTAGCAGGGAATATTAGATTTAAAGGTTAAAATTGAATGTTAGATTTGGTATCAGGATTAATCTAGGGAATTGAATAATCACTCCAGGGTTTCTACTTGTAGTGTGAACTTGTTAATTGTTATTTGTGTGTTGTTAATAAATATTTGTAATTATGGCTTTCGTTGGTGGTAATATGTTTACTTCCACACCTAGAGACGCGCCGGGCAATGTGAACCCAGTCCAAGATAGGACAGGGGCACGACAGTACATTCTCAGAAATTAGGTTATCCCAGGTGGGATCCGAACCCATGACCTTTGGATTAGAAGTCCAACGCGCTATCTATTGCGCTACAAAGACACAACGAGCAATTTTCCTTCTTATATATAATGTTGGACTATTATTTTTTGTTACTACTAATTTCTTACTTAATTAATAAATTAATATTAAAAAAAACTGTTTTAAAATCAAGTGTCATCCACTACAAGTGCAAAAAATGTATTTGAACTTGAGTTGAAAAATAGAGATATGTACAGAGAGAAAAGGAGAGAGTGTGAACTAATAGTAGGAATTGAATAATTGCCTTTGTTCATACGTTTTGCTGGTATCTTTTGATAATGTATGACTATATGTATATATCAATCAGATAGATGTCAATAATATATATATATATATATTATTGATAACTAAATTTTTTTAGCTTTAAGCCTTTAAATGTTGTTATACATGGTTTTATTGGTAGGATCAATCCAAATATATAAAATTGCTCAATGATCACACAGAACAATGATAAATAACAAAAAAAAACCAACATTTAAAGTAAGAACCAGGACAAATAAAGGTGAGTAAAAAATATTTAAGTTTAAACAGCAAGAAAAGGAACATGAGAGATGTAATCTTTTCAAAGAGAGTTCATGAAAGTTCAGGCATTCCAGTATAGTTTGCTTATCTCACCACCGTTTTGAGACTATTGTATAGTTCTGGACTTACAAGAAGACGCCTTCGAATGTATTCGAAAACATTTTTATAACCCTCACCTCCTGATTTAAAAATAGGATTTGAATTTTTAAGATAGAACACATTTTTTTATACGTCCCCCATAACCCCACCTCTTGGGAGTCGATTTCCTCAAAACCCTTTCTGAGTGAATTTCTACTCAACAAAAGATACATGCCTACCACATTGCAAGTCTGTGCGTCTAATAATTCAAAAATGGTTTTTTTATTTATCCCCCCCATGGGATTCGATACCCTCAAAACTATTTTTAAACATTGCAAAATCCAAAGATGTCGCTAAAATTTAGTATTCCTTTTCTAAGCATGAACTAGAAAGGTTTCCCACTATTGGCTGCATTTCACGAAATTTGTCGACTACGCACACAACATACAAATTTTTCCTTAAGCAAAAGGAGTCATAGAAAAACATTTCACTAAAAATAATTTTTTTGAAGGGTTTAAGGCTTACGGTTCCTTAGAAACAACAGTGGGGATTTATGCAAAATTGTAGAACGATACTATCAACAGTGTCGATTTGTATACGTTCCAAACAAATACACAAAAACATTCAAGTTTAAACATAAGGTAAAACAAGAACTGCGCAATGCGTGTAATGAAAGAATTCTAGAATCGGATATATACGCAAATCTATACGAACTGAACTCAGTGGCGCGACAGCCCATGAGGGCCAAGGCCTACTGTGCCTATGTCAGTTCTTATGACCTTAGGCGCTGGGTGCATGCGCAAATGTTTCAGTCAAGTGGTCAGTCTGACGTGAAACCTCCAGTGCTCAAATGCAAGCTTGGTACTCATTTATCGACCCATTGAA